TCAGGTAGAATACGTTCATGAATGATAAAAAGTACTGAATGACTCTCTAGGATCTTGGACTAGTATCATTCTGGAATTTCCGATTCTTACGTTACAAAATTGCAAATGTCCAGAAATATACAAACTAGATATATTTAATATCATTCTGGATGTATTGTAATATTATGATTTTTATCCTGAAAATATATTATAGATATTTTTTCATTCTATTCATTTGTCAACGACGTTGATTTTGTCGGTTTGAGAATTTAAATGCGTAGCTTACTTTGAGTTTATATTGCTTTGTATTGCTGTCTTGTATCACAACAGATTACACTTGTCTGCGAATTAAGTCGTATTTCAATCTGGTTCTGTGTTTTTTATTCAGCTCTTTAACTTTAAAAATGTCTTTAATCATTTTTTTTTATTTTCTCAACAATATTAATTGAAAATGTTGAAACCGAAATCTTTCCGGATCTCAGGAATTTAGGAACAATATCGAAATTTGCGTTTTGAATTAAATTATAGCAGAATTTTTTCGAAACCCTCCAAACAGCTCTGAATTTTTTTATTTAAAAGATCTTATTTCTTTTTCCTTTCTTATATAAAAAATGTTTCTTCATGCATCAAGTCTTAAAAAATTTCATATTACTTATTACAGTTTTATTTAATAATAATAATAATAATAATAATTTGTTTTCAATTACAATTACAAGTGTTTCAGATGAAAATCAAAATAACATACAGAAAAATACAAAGTACCCACAGAAGGCGTAGCCTGTGCGTAGTAAGATATCCAGTATTCAATTATACAAAGTGACATATAAATCCGAACACCCAGTTTAAATGGTTTTATTTTTTAATAAAACTTTGTATAAGTACTTAATGAAGCATAATAAGTAAATGATAAAAATTTCAAAATGATTGCACTGCTTTAAAGCCCTTTGACCTTTAATAATGTGTGGATGCACCCTGATGTGCTACGCATTCTCCAACGCGCCTAGGCATGCTTCTGATCAGGTGGTCAATGTCCTCCTGTGGTATCTCATTCCAGGCAACCATCAACTCCTCTCGAAGTGCTTCTAGAGTCTGAGGAGGACGTTGCAAATTGAGCAATATCCTACCCATCATATCCCACACGTGCTCAATTGGGGATAAGTCGGGAGATCTTGGTGGCCATGGTAACAATGTGACATCATTATGTTGAAAGAAGTCTATTGTGACTCTTGCAACATGTGGTCGGGCATTATCTTGTTGGAAAGTTGGATCTGCCAGGGTGTCAAGATAGGGTAAAAGATGGGGTTCTAGAACTTCGTGGATATAACGCTGCGCGTTCATGTTACCTCTGATGAAGATTAAAGGTGATCTGGAACCATAAGCTATAGCACCCCAAACCATAACTCCAACAGTGTGATGAACATGTCTTTCAACAAAAAACTGTGGATTCCTCCTTTCACCACGTCGCCTTCTAACCCTGGCACGATCATCGTGCATGCCTAAACAAAATCGAGACTCGTCACTAAAGACAATACCGTTCCATTCCTGATCCCAGAATGACCGTTGTCTGCACCACTCAAGGCGATTACGTCGGTGTTCTCGAGTTAAAGGGAGGACCCAGTGTGGCCGGTATGAAAACAAGCCAAAACTTCTCATTCGTCGGTAAACACTTTGCATGCCAATAGGTCTTCCATGTTCTGCAAACCATTCATTTGCAATGGACCTGGTAGTGGCGAAACGGTCCCTTAAGGCCAATAATCTTAGGCGGCGATCTTCACGGTCTGTTGTTCTACGGCGGCGTCCAGTGCCCCTTGCTCTTTGCGTACGGCCTTCTCGAAGCCATGCCTGACAACACCTAACCACAGTGTCTACACTTCTTTGCACTCTAACTGCAATTGCCCGAAAAGAAGGTCCAGCTTCCCGAAGTCCCACTATACGGCCCCTATCAAACTCACTAAGTTGACGAAATCGTACAGGTCTCTAGGCATCGTAACCGATCGTAAAGGATGTCAAGAACCAAAACCCGCCAACGTTGATTCTTTACTGCGGCTGAAATATTCATTTTTAGAGCGTTAGTGAATTAAAAAAAAGCAGTATAAAAACCGGAATGTCCAACTGATAAGGCTGAAAATTTTTTCACTTGTTATTTACAGTAAGATAAATACATTCACCAACTTTTATTAAAATAAAACCATTCAAACTGGGTGTTCGGATTTATATGTCACTTAGTATATTAGAAACTTTTAAAGGAATCCGTTGACAGTTTGAAAAATAGGTTTTAAACATTTTTATATATTATTTGAGAAATTAAGGTGCTCAATGTGACCACCAATTTGGTACCTGCACATAACAGTACTGCGCAACAAATTCTAACACTAGATGTAATACAATTTTTTTTTTTGAAATCAGCTCCGAAAAATACTTTTCTCTCGAAAACTATGCGAGATGGCCTGTTTTTACGAGAGACAAAGAATGAAGTAAATAAAAAGGTCTACTGAACAAAAAAATCAGAATTGTCGGGAAAGACACCAGAAAATCCTGCTATAATTTATGTAGGGTGGGGATAGTTTTCACCCTTCTCGAGTGCTTTCGGGTTTTTTTTGTGAAAGTCAAACATTACACTGGACAACAAATTTTAGTTTTTTAATTGTATCTTGTGGGAAAAGTGCACTTCTTTGTTAATTTTGGGGCGCTGAATCCAAAAATGACAATGAAATAAAAAAATTAGTTGCGGTTTAGAAAAAAAACTTTTTATTTTTAAAGATATATTAAAAAAAGTAACAAGATTCATATACTTATAAGAATCACTATATGCGCTGTCTTTTTGCTGTTCTTTTATATCTCTGGAGCATCTCTACCAAGAGTCCAACAGTAGTGTGCAAGCATGGAAGGATTCCACTTTCCCTAGTACCTTTTTTCCATTGTTGAAATATCCTGATGAAAACGTTCGCCGTGCTCATCACTTACGGCTCCGCAATTGTCAGGAAAAAAGTTCAGGTGTGAGTGTAGGAAATTTATCTTAAGAGACATATTACAGCCCATCTTTTGATACGATGACAGCATATTTTTGACAGGATTTTATAGTTGTCAGCTTTTCTATTTCCCAAGAAATTAGTGACCACCAGACGGAAATCATTCCACGCAGTTTTTTCAATACCTGTTAAAGTGTTTTCAAACTGTGTATCTTTCAAAATATTTCGAATCTGTGGCCCAACAAAAATACCTTCTTTAACCTTTGCCTCACTTAGTCTTGGAAATTTCTGACGCAGGTATTGAAAAGCTGACCCATCTCTATCCAATACCTTGACAAAGTTTTTCATTAGGCCCAACTTGATATGCAGTGGTGGTAATAAAATTTTTTTCGAATCTACTAATGGCATATGCTGTACATTTTTTTGACCTGGCTCTAGGAATTGACGAACAGGCCAGTTTTGTCTGGTGTAATGAAGTGCCTTTGCCCGACTGTCCCATTCACACAAAAAACAGCAAAACTTTGTGTAGCCTAGCTGCAGCCCAAGTAAAAGTGCAACAACTTTCAAATCGCCACAAATATGCCATTGGTGCTCATCGTATTTTATGCATGTCAATGGGTACTTCATATTGGCATATGATTCTTTCATGTGAACTGCATACCCTACAGGAAGAGATGGTAAAATATTTCCAATATACAATAACACTGCCTTTAAACTCAATGTTGAACTGTCTATAAACAATCTCCATTCTTCTGGGTTATAGTTTATATTTAAAGCCGCCAGTAAGCCGTTAATGTTACTGCAGAAAACCAAGTTATTCTCCATATTGAAAAATGGTTCTAAGTCTTTGTGGCGTTTACGAAAAACACATACCGAAACATCGTCTTCTAACAAGTTCCACTGCTGCAGTCTTGATCCAAGTAACTCTGCCTTACATTTTGGAAGTTCTAAATCTCTTACAAAATCATTTAATTCTCACTGTGTTATTTTGTGAGGTTGGTGGCAGGACGTGCTCGGTATAAAATAAGGATCTCTTGACGTTGATGGCATATCTTCTTCCTGACGAATCACTCGATCGCCATGATCTGATTCGCTTTCTGATTCGCAAGTGTAGGATTCTGGGGGTTTTGGAATAGGATTTTCGTCACTGTGAGGCACAGGTCTCATCGCAGATGGTATGTTTGGGTAGTTAATAACCGATTTTTTTTTCTTGGACATACCTGTGGCTTGTCCAACACAAGGTACCATGCAAAAGTAACAATCATTAATATGATTTGTAGGCTCTCTCCAAACCATTGGGACAGCAAAGCGCATAGACCGTTTTTTGCCATTTAACCAGCTCCTCAGACTTGAAGCACATGTATTACAGCAGATGTGGGGTGTCCACTGTTTGTCTTGATCACCTAGTTTACAACCGAAATAAAGCTGATATGCCTTTGTTATTAGTGGAGTAATAGACCGTCTCTGAGACGCAAAAGTCACATCAGCACACACGTAACAAAACTGATCTGGATTGTTTGCACACTTTCGAGACATCTTGCATGAACGCTGTCAGCCAACTGAGGAAAAAATGGCTAATATAGAACAATATAATGTACACGTATGTATAACGTAACACAATCATGCCGATTACATCATCTTTCCTTGCCGAACATAAAAATGTAGCACGTGCATTCTTGTGAATTACAGTATATTAACACTGTCACAGCAGGAACACATATAATTACCGTATCTCTAAAACTTGAACTAATATTGAAAAAATAAGTTTCATTCCGGTTTTAGCACATTGAAACTAGTAATATTTTGTTGATTTTATTTAGGATATTTTTTGGCTGTTGATCAGTGTTAGGTCGTGTATCAAAACAGATTTGTTCCTAATTTCATTCAAATCGGACTGACACGGAATATTGGGTCAGCCTGTATATTCAGCAACACGTGCCGTTTTGTCTTGTCCGCGCTTCTCGTATGTTCTAAATTTAATAAACGGTGCAGTTGCCAGCCTTTCCGAAAATTTATAATTACTTGTTGAAAAGTTAGATCTATTTGTTGTAGTGCTACCTCACCAACTCGCCATATAAGGAACTCTTTATGCAGGCTGGTACATGGGCGTAGGGAAGATACGCAAGAAAGGTCGAAGGTAGATTCACCAATTACACAGGGGCGGATCTTGAAATCTAATTATTTTTGGGCGGCATATATCAACTTCGCAATGTACCTGCTCCAGAAAACTTTTGGACCACGGAGGCCTACTCCACAAAAAGTATTTTTTAGACTGGTTACAGAAGTTGGAACATCGCTAGGTCAAGCGTACTGTGCTAAAACGTGACTACAGTATATTCAGATAAGAGATAGACCGGATGTAAACAAAAGGAGGAAAGTGCATGAATTCTTCTTTAGGAATGAAATACCTACTATAGATAAAGTACTGCAGGAGGTAAATGGAGATACAACGTTGCCAAATTTCAAACGATCAACTTTCCATGCGTTACTGAAGCATTTAAATTTCAAATGGAAAAAACGGGGTCGTAATAGTTTACTACTGGATAGAGAAGAAATTGTGCTATGGAGGAGGGATTATTTAACAAAAATTGGGAAATATAGAAATCAAAACAGGAAGATTTATTACCTTGATGAAACGTGGGTAAACGCAGGACACACTACAAGTAAAGTATGGGTTGATGATTCTGTAACTTCATCCAGGAGGGCCTTTCTAGATGGACTGTCCAACGGATTAAAAAATCCAGCAGGTAAATACGAGTAGTAGACAACAATCGGATGTTTTTCAAACCTTGGGAACAAGGTTCTAAACATTAATTCCAGGGGGCAGATAAAACATGTTACAAGTAACAAAACTTTTATAACTTTCGATAAAATGCGTGGATGTTTTATTGTCATTTTCATTTGTTAGAACTTTTTTAAGCCATGTTTTTATCTGTTTTCGATATTTCAATAATTTTTTAATATAACCTTAAAATATGTCAAATATTATAAACTTAAAAAAAGTTACTAAGTTTTATATTGTGTACCGTTCCTAATATTTCTAATCATTTTAATTCATACTTAGGCTTTATATAGTTATAATTTGTTAATATTAATATTTGCGCGTATTTCAGGTTCCTGATCATTCATTTTTTAAAGGTTTATAACTTTAAATTAAATTGTGAAGCGCTGAGTAATCATACGACGTTCAATATTCTTTCTTTCAATATGACTAAATAATCCCAATTACAGCAATCTGATACTCATGTCTCAACGTTTTTTCGCTGAATGTGATGAAAACATTTGAAAAAGGTTCGATTATTGAAATAAATCTACACCAGTTACTACTTCGATTTCCAGGTAAAGGGAAAAGGCTCATTATCTGCCATATTGGCAGTGAGGATGGATTTGTTGTTGACGGTCTGTGGTGCTTTGAGTCTAAGAAAACTGGAGATTACCACGAGGAAATGAATGGCGAATCGTTTGAACAGTGGTTTTCAATAATTTTACCGAACTTAGAGGAAAACGCAGTAATTGTGTTGGATAATGCGCCTTATCATTCTCGAAGAATGGAGAAGGTCCCAACAACGGCTTCAAAGAAAGTTGATGTTCAAAATTGGCTCCGCTCGAAAAATATCAACTTTGATGAAGCAATGCTGAAAGTACAATTATTAAGAATTGTCAAGGATCACAAGGCGGAATATCAAAAATACGCCATTGACGAAATGGCAGCAAGTCAAAATAAAACTGTGCTCCGTTTACCTTCATACCATTGCGAGCTCAATCCCATTGAGCTCATATGGGCAGAGGTTAAAAATTATATAGCTAAGCACAATACAACTTTTAAATTTTGTGACCTCAAAGGACTTTTCAAAGAAGCACTAGAATTAATAACAGCGCAAAAATGGGAAAACTGTATTAAGCACGTGAAAGACAAAGTTGAAAAGAGAATGTGGGAACTGGACAATATTTTAGAGGAACAAGTCGAGCCATTCATTATTGACGTTGGTGCTTCAGGCAGTAGCGATGATGAAAGCTCATCAAGCTCATCTTTCCAATAAAAGATGTCGTTCATCAAATTTGGTAAGTTATAAGTAATTATAAAGCTACTGTATTTTTTAATTAATTATTGACATTTTTGAACCCATTTTGGCAAAACCTATTCAAGAATCTACTTTCTGACAATGTTCAACCATGCACATTTTTTTACATTTTGAACGTTTTAATTCGGTTACATATTTACCTAGAAATCAAAAAATATACTAATCAATATTCTAAAAGCAATTTTAAGAGATATACGATTATTTTTAATTTAGGCTAATTTAAACGCCATTTTGAGATTATATTCGACTGTATTTCACCAAACATCAGGCGGCATCCGAAGCTGGAAATCGAAGCGAAAATGTTGAAACCCTTATGTATATTTACATCATTATATATTTCTTACCCCACCCCCACATGATCCTATATCCATCACCAATCGTATACACATCGAATTGTGCTAATTTACTACAAAGTTACGCAAAGCAGCATCTACTATCTAAAATATGTACTGCGTGACTCTTAATACGTCCCTGCCGAATGTTACAGCATTCGATGATCACGTGGTCTTGTTTATGTCCGGTCTATCTCTTATCTGAATATACTGTAGGTTGAGAAATGATTCGTCACTTTTCCAAAAGTTAGTCACTCTTTCTCACACAGTCCGGATCGAAAGATGATGATACTCGTGAAATGTATCGATACACCCAAGTGTCGTATAAAAAAATATCGATCCAAAATATCGAGTATGGGAAGCAAAAGTAAGGATACTTCTAAATATAGGATCGTATCGAACATCCCTACTGTCAAGATGTATAACCCGAGGTACCTACGCAGCTATTTTGCGGCAATTTTCATTTCAATTTTTTTAATTTTTTGCAACGATTTTGGGAAAATCTCCACGTATAGTCTTATAAAGCATAGTAGAGTATATTTCAGTAGTTTTGAAGATTAACGTAATGCATAACGTGGTAGAGCACCATCCTGCTGGAACATCAACCAGGTAAGAAAAAAGGACCAACTAGATGATCGCCAAAAATACCAGCCCAAACATTTAATTTTTGTGGCTGCTGTGTACGAACCTCATGCTTAAATTCTGGGATTAGAATCGGACCAATATCGGCAGTTATGACGATTTACTACGCCATTTAAGAAAAAGGAACATTCGTCGGAAAAACAAGTGTTGAATAGAAAATGTTCATCGTTTATAATTCGTTCACTCATATCTTCACAAAATTGTAATCGCCGATCAAAATCGTCTTCATTAAGTTCTTGTACCAGGTGAATTTTATATGGATGAAAACTATGGGCCTTTAGAATCCGTTGGACAGTACGTCGAGTAACACCACACACAGTAATAAATTTGCGGGTACTTAACGTAGGATCTACATAAACTTGCCCTAAAACCCCCACTTCTATTGCTTCGTTCCTTATGGGATTTTCAATGTTGCGTTTTTTATTGGCGACTGAGCCAGTTTCCCGAAATTTACCTACAAGTTCTAGAACATATTTTCGATGCACGTTACTGTTCTCGTGTCGCTCATTAAATATTTCTGCTGTTCTATTAGCGCACTGATTATTTCCGAAACATATTTCGATAATTTCAACTCTTTCTGCTGTGGAATATACCATGGTTAATTTATGTAATAAAGCATTACAAGTTATTTTAGCAACAAACTTTGGTCAAATCAATAGCAAACTACAGTATATTCAGATAAGATATAGACCGGACATAAACAAGACCACGTGATCATCGAACGCTGTAACATTCGGCAGGGACGTATTAAGAGTCACGCAGTACATATTTTAGATAGTAGATGCTGCTTTGCGTAACTTTGTAGTAAATTAGCACAATTCGATGTGTATACGATTGGTGATGGATATAGGATCAAGTGGGGGTGGGGTAAGAAATATATAATGATGTAAATATACATAAGGGTTTCAACATTTTCGCTTCGATTTCCAGCTTCGGATGCCGCCTGATGTTTGGTGAAATCAGTCGAATATAATCTCAAAATGGCGTTTAAATTAGCCTAAATTAAAAATAATCGTATATCTCTTAAAATTGCTTTTAGAATATTGATTAGTATATTTTTTGATTTCTAGGTAAATATGTAACCAAATTAAAACGTTCAAAACGTAAAAAAATATGCATGGTTGAACATTGTCAGAAAGTAGATTCTTGAACAGGTTTTGCCAAAATGGGTTCAAAAATGTCAATAATTAATTAAAAAATACAGTAGCTTTATAATTACTTATAACTTACCGAATTTGATGAACGACATCGTTTATTGGAAAGATGAGCTTGATGAGCTTTCATCATCGCTACTGCCTGAAGCACCAACGTCAATAATGAATGGCTCGACTTGTTCCTCTAAAATATTGTCCAGTTCCCACATTCTCTTTTCAACTTTGTCTTTCACGTGCTTAATACAGTTTTCCCATTTTTGCGCTGTTATTAATTCTAGTGCTTCTTTGAAAAGTCCTTTGAGGTCACAAAATTTAAAAGTTGTATTGTGCTTAGCTATATAATTTTTAACCTCTGCCCATATGAGCTCAATGGGATTGAGCTCGCAATCGTATGGAGGTAAACGGAGCACAGTTTTATTTTGACTTGCTGCCATTTCGTCAATGGCGTATTTTTGATATTCCGCCTTGTGATCCTTGACAATTCTTAATAATTGTACTTTCAGCATTGCTTCTTCAAAGTTGATATTTTTCGAGCGGAGCCAATTTTGAAGATCAACTTTCCTTGAAGCCGTTGTTGGGTCCTTCTCCATTCTTCGAGAATGATAAGGCGCATTATCCAACACAATTACTGCGTTTTCCTCTAAGTTCGGTAAAATTTTTGAGAACCACTGTTCAAACGATTCGCCATTCATTTCCTCGTGGTAATCTCCAGTTTTCTTAGACTCAAAGCACCACAGACAGTCAACAACAAATCCATCCTCACTGCCAATATGGCAGATAATGAGCCTTTTCCCTTTACCTGGAAATCGAAGTACTAACTGGTGTAGATTTATTTCAATAAGCGAACCTTTTTCAAATGTTTTCATCACATTCAGCGAAAAAACATTGAGACATGAGTATCAGATTGCTATAATTGGGATTATTTAG